TTTGTTTTCATTTTTGGCCGTTTGAACGACAATAAGCAAGTCTTATCGCAGTCTCAAGTTGTTACAGTGAATTCTTTAGCTCACAGTCATGTTTCTGGAAGTCAGACAGTTTGGATCCATCTTCCTTTGTGCTGCTTTTTAGTCCCCAAATCCCTCATAATCCCCCCAAAAATGAAGCAAGTGTACTCAGAATAATGCCTGACAAACGTACTGTATCAGGATTGCTAATTTTGATGACTCAAATTAAAAAATTCTGTAGTAATGCTTTGGGTCCTTAAAGGTAGAGTCAGTAGTTTTTTTCCTAAAAATCTGAATATAGACTTCATAGACCCCAAATGTAATGCTGCACAATCATCACTTTTGGGCCTCCGTACATGTTTGTCTGTGTCTGCAGAGACCATGTCTGTCCACTGACTGGATTCTCATGTGTTGGTTTGTTTTGGTTTACTCTGGACGTCTTTAGGTGGGGAGCTATGTGTTTCCCCTAGCCAAAGACAAGGAGTGGGCACAGTTCAGTGATTTTGATGCGATTCAAATGAGCAGATATGACATCAAATACAATCATAGCATGGTGATAAAAGTGGTTCCAAAATGATGGTGAACCGTGTGTTGGCTTTTACTCGCAGATGCAGAGTTAGACTACTTTCTGTTGGACCATCAAGTGCAAAACTGCAAAACTGCAGTTAGCTTGTGCTAGGTTGCGGTAGTTTGCAGTGTATAGGTAGAAGCAGTAAACATACACACCACATCCTGCAGTGAGTGTGTCCTTCTGAGGCCGATGAGTCCAGGAGATGGGGCCCAGTGTGAATGTTGTGTTTACAAGCTGCAACAAGCATTTCTACGAACTCCACCTTGAAACTTCACTGTCTTACTGTCGCTGATTTATTGGTAAATGGTCTGGAGCTTGTATCGCTCTTTTCTAGTCTTCTGACTCCTCAAAGAGCTTTTACACCGCAGGTAACACAGACACATTCACACACTGATGGTAGAGGCTGCTGAGTAAAGAGACCATCAGTATTAACTCATCCATTCACACACATTCACACGGCGCCGACCAAAGCAGCGGGAGCAACTTGGGGTTAAGCGTCGGCCATGTGGCTGCAGGAGCTGGGGATCAAACCCCTCTACCAACTGAGCCACAGCTGCCCCAATCATGAACCTTGTTTCACATTTTAAATCATGTGCATGTTGGGCCAATGAGGCGTTTTTTGTTCAATATATAAACCCACATGAGTCATATTTAAATGGGAAAATCAGCAGAGTGCTAAAACTCATTCTAACAGCTATTAAGTTAAAAAATGAAGACAGAGGGAGAGGTCATATTGATCTTTCTCACGTTAGAGAGGAGACTGTTAGTTTCTTTGCCACCCTGAGGAGCAAACTGTGGATGATTTTTCCCTGCCTCATTCCTTGTATTAGCCAGGAGATAGTTTGTGATTTCCATGTATTTTATTTAGCAGCATGACTCTTATCTTTACACCATCATACTGACAGTGTCTTCAGAGCTGCCGTCTGGCTGGAGGATTTTAATTACCACTGAGGACTTATTTCACTTTGGCCAGCCACAAGAATTAATAGAGGAGGACACCACCAAACTCATTACGTGACTGCACTTTTGTCAGCTCATTGTCTTGAAGCAAACATATTGAGCAGCCACAGTCTTTGCTGCCTGAGATGAGGTATCGTGGCTACAGAAGCAGTAGTCCTGTAAACCGTGTTGATAAGCCCTCTGGGGTTATTTGTCACACCTACACACTTAACCAATGTCTGTGGCCTTAATCAGGCCTTTTCTCAGTCACATTGTCCTCCCACGCTGTCTGCTCTCACACTCCTCAACGGGTTGCTGCATTTCTTTCCTCCCCTGCGTTTCGACTGTATCACATCACGGGCGAAAACACACACGATGCCATGACAGACGAGCCCGTTGGGATTCTGTAAAACGGTGGAGCTTCCTGCTACTATTGCTCTTCTTTGATCAATCCTTTGAAGGGTTTGTACCTCGTCTACTCGCTGCCAAAGCTGTGATGATGCAGCATGTTACTACTCACCACTTCTCTCTGTGAAGACGGTTCAGCTAAACTGCATGCTGAAGTTGTCTAAGTTAATATGTGCCATAAAATAAGACACTTACTGCAAACACCAAACTTCAACTTGTCTTCATTTTCACGGATATATTGAGATATTTAAAGACACAATATGTATGATTCTGCCACCAGGGGGCTCTCTATCAAAACAATAAGAAAAGATGACGTCGAGGGTGGCGGGGAATCATGGGAGTTCTCTCTGCTACCCTGTGAAGACGAACGAGCAAAACAGACCCGAGGAAGAGAATATGTTTACTGACGATTTTATGTATCCAAGTATTATTTAAATGACGTTTTTATCACAGCAGCACATACAGCAACAGTACGGCAGCTTTCAGTAGCAGCTCCAACTTCCTTATGTTGCGGTCTTGGACGTAACATCCGGTGTTTCAACGGCAATGATAATCATTCTGTCTGTCGTGGCGGCTCATCATGGTGGCCGCCTTGACAAGACACGTCCCGTCACAACTATAAAATAACGGATTTATCTATCTTTGATAACTGTTGGAAATAATTGAGGTAACGTAAGTACTCATTTAATTTAGATATGTGAATGTAAACATTGTCATCAAATTCTACATATTGCACAGTTAACAAGACTCCCAATAATATTTTTTTGGAATTTCTTTTGAGAATTTCAAGAGTAAAACATGACAGGTTCAAGTCATACAAGATGAAATCTTAAACTATACTGAAAACTTGTTCCACATGGATGTAGACTCTCTCACTCCGACCATCACGCAGTTCGTTCTGCTTTTATAATCGAGTTGCACTAGACAGTGACATCATTGAGTTGCAGACGATCAACGTCCTCAGAGTTAAACTCGGAGCAGGCCTTGGACACTTCTGGAGTTTTGTATCTGAAACAGACGTCCCCACTTTGACACCACTCGTACAGAAAGTGGTGTCTTTTTTTTAATGAACACGTGCAGATGTGAGTCAGCATTATCAAACATGGACGCTATGAAGAGGAAACAGAGAAACTGACTCACCAATGGCATGTTTGGAATGCCTGACAATTATTGCAACAACAAACTACAAACACAACGAGAAGAATATAAGGAAATAAATGCCTGCGTCTGCTCATCCAAGTATGAAGCTCAACCTGTTTTTCATTTGAGCTTATTAGAAACATGCAGAGGCTTTTTAGGTCGGGTACAATTACTTCTATCTGAACCACTTCTCTTGCCCGCTTCCATCGCTGCAACACCTGTTGGTTTGACCTGATAACTGCTCTCATATCTGGTAAACTGAGGGGCGTCCAAAACAGCCATGTGGGGGTGTCTTAAAACCGCCTACCTTCTCTGGTCCAAACAAATCCAGAGCATTCAGGAGCAGAATCTAAAGTTAGAAGGAGGACAATAATTTAAATTGAATTAAAGCATCTTTGCTAGTCCAACTAAAAAATCTATAAGACAGATAACATCACTTTAAGGCTACTTGCATCCTTCATGTCATTTCCTGTTGATTGTCTAATTTAAAGAGAGTGTACTTGATGTGATAAATCATGAAAGAACAGATTTCACATGTCGCTAAATTGTCATGTGACATCAAGTATAGTTGGCCAAAATATTGCCTGAATATGTTGCAGTGATAATTTGAATGAAGCCCATATCCTGCACAAAGCTGTGGACCAGTGCAGACTGGTTTTTCAGAGGCCACCTCATCCCTTTAACACCTCTCTGGTCTGTGTAAGCGGCTCTCTGCAGCCATGTCTCTGAATAATTCAACAAAGCAGGAGAGGAGTGGGAGAGATGATATGGATTGAAGATGATCTGGGGCACTGGTGGCAGGAAATTGACTTTTTGACGTCAGAATAAGCTGGAGAAGCATCTTTTGTGTGCAAGCGAATGTGGGCGTATCGGCCAGTATAAAGGGAAGACGAGCTGGAAACAGCAGGTGAGAGTGGCAGGGCCTCTCTTTGAAGCACCTTCCTCCCTCTCTTTATTAATTCATAGATTCTCTCTGAGCGTCTGACCCACAGGATCTGTGCAGTTTGCCCTGTGGGCGTCTACACTCTGCCTGTATTTCATCTCCAGAGGAACCAGACAAACTGTTGGCGTTAATTATGGCACCCTTAGGAAACGTACTGTAACTGGACATTTGAGTCCAGGTGATTGAGCGGGGCTGGAGGTGTAAGTTGGGCATTTCCACTGCTGACTCAGTTATTACTTACTGTCAGTGGATAAGGTCAGTCTTGGATTTAGAGGAGAATTCCCATTAATGAACAATGCCTGACGTGACAAGTTTTCACATTTAATAGGAAGCTGTTTGTCAGGTTGAGATGGTTTTCATGACAAATATGATGTGGCTATAGGTAGAGCTGAAGTCAGAGGGGGGCTATTAATGCTCCAAGAGTCCATCAGACCGAAAACAAAAGCTCATGCTAGGTTACAAAACTGTAACTTCTGTTTCTCTCGATAGTGACTGTTAGGTGTGTTTTAGTTAGCTCTGTTTGCTTAAAGAGGACATATTATCCCCTTCTCCACCTTTTCAAACAGTCCCCCTGCGGTCTAAATGAAACATCTGTGCTGTGCTTTGGTCAAAATATAACATGAATCAAGCAGCAGAGGAGGTTTGTGACCCTGTATAAACCAGCTCTCTCAGAACGCTCCGTTTTGGTGTGTGTGTCTCTTTAAATGTAATGACCCCCCCCCCGGAGTTTTCCCAGTAGACATCTCTCCTCTGTAGAGAGAATAAAAATTCAGTATGTCCCTCGCTCTAATGCACTCTCTTCAATTATGTGTCCAATAATGATTATTGATCCAGTTAAGAATCACAAACATTAAGAGTATATTTAAAGGTTTTGTTTTTACTCTAAAGGCGACAAAAAACTGGTGTTCAATATCCATTAGATAGATAGTTTAATTGTGTTTGACTGAGAATGCTAATGTGTCCCTTTCTTTGTGTCTCTAGGTGCCCCTGGTTGACAAAGGCGATCTCTCCCGCTGTGCCCGTCTACAATGGCCTCGTCTTCCTCTTCGTGTTGGCCAACTTCAGCATGGCAACCTTCATGGACCCTGGTGTTTATCCACGAGGTGTGTGTGTGTGTGTGTGTGTGTGTGTGTGTGTGTGTGTGTGTGTGTGTGTGTGTGTGTGTGTGTGTGTGTGTGTGTGTGTGTGTGTGTGTGTGTGTGCAAATGACTTGATGTGTCAAGCAATGGCATAACAATGTTGGCCACTTGACAGCATTCTGCGGGAAACAATTATGTTTGAAAAGAAATATCTGACTAGGGCTGGAATCTTTGGGTGTCTCACGATTCGATAACGATCCTCTGGGTCACGATTCGATTCAGAATCGATTTACGATTCAAAACGATTCCGGTTTTTATGATTGGAACTCTAATTTTGAATGAGTACAAACTTCAGGATCTACTCCAGTCATTTGTGAGACTGGCTGAATTTCTTGTTGCTCTATTTGTCATTCTACTGAATTAAAGAGCTAGTTTTAGCACTTAATCAATTGAATTGATTTTGAATCTTAGAAGAGAAGAATGTAAATTTTTACATAAATCATTTTTTTTCCAACCTCTATATCTAACATTGGTTCCTGGTTTGGATCCCCTTCGGACAGGGTGTAAAGTTTGCATGTTCTCCTCGTGCATGTGTTGGTTCTCTCCGGGTACTCCGGCTTCCTCCCTCAGTCCAAACACACGCTGGTTAGGTTAACTGCTGACTCTAAATTGCCCGTAGGTGTGAATGTGAGTGTGTCTGTTTGTCTGTCTCTATATGTCAGCTCTGTGATTGGCTGGTGAACCGTCCAGAGTTATCCCCACCTCTCGTCCAATGACAGCTGGGATCGGCTCCAGCCCCCCGCGACCCTGAACAGGAAAAGTGGAATAGATAATGGATGGATGGATGGATATTTACTAAGATTGCATGTCATCTTCCTCCTAGCCCTCCTCTTCCTCTTTCTCCTCGGAGCTCCCGGAGTTGCTGCTGGTGGAGAATCCAGAGCCAAAGTCCGAGTCTGGGTATGCTTGGTGTGAATAGGTACTGCTGGTGCAACTTCTACACACCTTCACAATGACAGGTGTCCAACAAGCTCCCACTGCGGCCTTTGAGTCCTCGGCACCATCTGGGTTAATTAATATTGATTGAATTTGTCCTCAGGGATATTTGTAATGCGCTTGTAAATGATAAGCACCTGTCGGCAGGAGGAGCGTCTCTATCCATAAAGGGGTAATAATCATTATGATGTATGAAGCGCAGGTTATCTGACCCTGGCCTTTCTGGTTTTAGAGACTGCTGGTGGGATTACTTTCTTTTAGCTCTTATATTATATATGACACAGATGGCAGACCCACCAGTAACAATATTAACTGTTATGAAATAGTCTATCACTGACATCTGCCTGGAAAATCACCGTCATCACCCAGATTGTAAAAATGAGAATGAAAGGCATTGTAGAGCTAATAATTTGCCTATTCAGGTCACTGACATGAGCAGACACGATTTATAGTCATCTCCTTTCAGGGAGACATTTTTAATATGGAGGAAATAGATGAGAGAGATGACTGTGGATCATACGGGATCATGGCTAGAAGGGGAAAAAAGCATTCAGGGAAATCACAGTGGGGCCCTTGAGCAGAGTGTGCTGGTAGTGATGAACGCCAACTTCCAGCCCTTATAGAGCGTGTACATTTAGCCTTAATCGCAGGTTCAAGTTGAGCAGCTCAAAGATTCACTTAAGATTACATTTTATATTTATAATATTGATGATAGATGTAAGGCTGGTGTCGACCAAAATGAGGCTTAAAGGACTGAATGCTCGCTGGTCTTTCTGCCCCCCTAGTGGCCATTGTAGGTAATGTTACGCTGAAAAGAAGATGGTTGCTGCTTATTAAAAATGAGTCTTATTGCAGCACATGTGAACAAGATTTCATGAGTCCAACTAATTACCTCTGTACTCGCCCTTTTACAGCAATATCTTTGTAAGGTGTCTTGACAGGATTTCTCGTTGAAACTGAAGAAAACTGGAAATGCAGAGAAGAAAGAGAGGATGGCATGCACGCCCGCGGGTCAGAACTAAAACTGGCACGCTGTGATTAGAACTCAGCCTTAATGCATGGGGAGGGGGGGTATTACCCCATATCTCTGTTAGGTTAGCAAACAGTTGCTCATGTTGGCTACTGTTAGTTATATTACAGCACCTGAAAGACTGTTGTTAAGCTATAGCTTTAGAAGAGTGCATTTAATCGCTTATAAGTTTTCATTTTTTAAAGCGAGATTAATGAGAGTTTTTCCTCCCAAAGTTACAAACTACATCTTTAACTTTTGATTGTGTCACCTGGAAGATGAACAACAACAGCAGCAGCAGCAGCAAAAGTCTGATTTAGCAGTAATAGTTTTTTTTTTGCACTGGTTAGTATGGGCGGGAAAGCACTTTGAACGACAGCTCTAACAGCCGTTTGAGTGTGTGTGAAGTGATTAATGACAGAAAATTATACGCTGCTCGTTTTCTGATAATGTAGAGCGCCGTCAAATTCCCATTACTGCTCTCAAGAACAGCCGGTGTACTTGTCAAGTTTCTGAGAACATGACATCATGTTACCCCGGGCAACTGCATCAAAAAAGAAAGTGTTTAAAGTGCTCATTTGATCTCTACAGGTCAAAGGTTTGATCCCCGTTAATATCCCTTTATCTTTCCCAAGTGCCAGAAATACTGAGTTCACACTCAGGTGCATGCTAACACACACACACACACACACACACACACACACACACACACACACACACACACACACACACACACACACACACACACACACACACACACACACACACACACACACCCTTCCCAACTTTTGACAGTGGTAAAGCCCCGTTTCCACCAAGCGGTCTGGTTCAGTTCAGTTCGGTACGGTACACATTTTCCACCGTCCAAAGTTAAGAAAGGTACCAAAATAACTGATCAGTACTGTCATACTTTTTTTGCCACCCTTCTGTTGGGGTGCCAAGAGTACTGATCAGACCCTAAAGGTTGGAGCTAGACTCACTGCAGTCCATTGATTGGTTAAAAGAATCTTCCTGTGGAACAGCAGTAATAAAGGACAAACATAAAACACACCATGTTTAAATATTCGGTTGGATTTGGAGAGAGTCATTTCAAGACTGTTTTAGTTTTTTTGCGATTGTAAGCATGTAGCTCCGCCCCACAGACGACCTCAGAGATGCAGACCTTCCTAGGATTCTTTGATCTTTGTTTACTGTGTCACGTTCTTCTTCTTTGTTGGATTTGTTGGCGGTCTACACTTGGTCACTCCGCTGTGATTTAGTGATGTGTGAGGGTACTGGCAAGATCAGGGTTTACCGTACCAAACTGTACTGAACCAAACCCGACCTCTTGGTGGAAACGGGGTTAATGTGTACCGTACCGAACTGAACTGAACCTGACCGCCTGGTGGAAACCTTTTAAATCTATTTGAAGAGACCTGACAGACGTAATAACAGAGCAATCTGCTTTTTATTGACCCGTTGACGTCTGTGCTCTCTCTTTGTTTCTCCCTTGCTTTCTTTGCTCCTTGTGTGTGTGTGTGTGTGTGTGGGTGTGTGTGTGTTGGTTCATCTACCTGGGCCTGTCTGCAGTTATTGTTGTACCGTGAAGTTATTTTCTGAGGTTGGAGCTCAGTGCAGAACGTAAGAATGTGCCCTTTGATGAGCTGAGAGACATTTGAGGGCAAAAGGCTCTCTCTCTGAGGAAAATGGCAACTCCAAAAAACATCCTGAATGACTGAGAGAGCACAGAGTAAACTCAGCCACAGTTAGAGGTTTGATTTCCATGAAAGAAGCATCAATTCTGATGCTGTGTGACCTTGTGGGAAATGAAAGCAAACAGCATCTGTTGAACATGAGTCACAGTGTTCTTCAGTAATCACTCCTGATGTTAGAGGCAGAATGAAGCACTCTCTGTAAATGTTCATCCCTCTCAGTGCCTCCTCTCAGTGGGGGGGGGGCATCATTTAAGATGCTGCGCTGTTGTTCATGTCAACTTGAAGCATAAATCAAAACAATGTTCTTGTGTCTATTAACCACCAAACGCAATCTCACACCTATATGCATCTGCGCTCCGTTGATGTACTCGTGTCTTTGTGATTTTTTTTCCTCCTCAGCGGATGAAGACGAGGACAAGGACGATGATTTCCGAGCGCCGCTCTACAAGAACGTGGAGATCAAGGGCATTCAGGTCCGGATGAAGTGGTGCGCCACCTGTCACTTCTACAGGCCGCCTCGCTGCTCACACTGCAGCGTGTGTGACAACTGTGTGGAGGTGTGTATGTGTGTGTGTGTGTGTGTGTGTGTGAGAGAGAGATTAATGTGTTATGTATGTATGTATGCAGGCACAGTGTAGATATGCATAAAGGTTGGACTGATGTATGCGGGCCATGTTTTCTGATGCTGTTCTGTGCCAAGAATATCAATAAATGAACACTGAATAGATATAAATAAGTTATTTTTAGGTGTCTGCTATAAGGTTATTATGATTAGAAAATCCTGACCACTGGCATAAATATCGGCTTTTGCAGCTTTAAGCGTTTAATGCTCTTATCAGGATTCGCTTTGGAAACCTAATTTTCCACATTTAAATCCACATGAGGAGATGAAGACACCCCCACACAGGGTTCAGATGGACTATTTGGTTTAGTAGAGACCCATTAACAAAAGCCCACCTCCTGACCAGCTGCAGGTCATTAAAACTGTGTTCTCTCTCTCCTCAGGACTTTGACCATCACTGTCCCTGGGTGAACAACTGCATCGGACGGAGGAACTACCGCTACTTCTTCCTCTTCCTGCTGTCGCTAAGCATCCACATGGTGGGAGTTTTCTCCTTCGGCCTCCTCTTCGTCCTCCACCACCGAGAGAGGCTGGCAGCGCTGCACACCACCGTCACGTATCCTTGATGCCCCGCTGCAAAACCTTTAAGCAACCTTTAAAGGCTTTATAAGCGATTTTTTTGATCCAGCAGATGTCGCCCTTGAGCACCAGCATGAAACCAAAACAACTCGAGCTGCATTGTTGTGTTAGCATGCTAATGCTCGTATCTTCACACTGCATGTAAATGGCGCAGTGGTTTGTGCACGCACCCCATGTATGGAGGCTGTAGTCCTCCAAGCAGGCGGCCCAGGTTCAAATCCAACTTGTGGCTCCTTTCCCGCATGTCATTCCACTCTCTCTCTCTCTCCCTGATTTCTGATTCTGTCCACTGTCCTGTCTCTCCAATAAAGGCACAAAATGCCCAAAAATTAATCTTTAAAAAAAGAAAAAACTTCAGACAACTTTGATAGATTTTTTATTTGCAGAATGTTAAAAGTGCATGGACAGAAGATGGTGTCTTCTGTCAGACTCTGTTATTCCTACTTGTTGCACTCTCGTGCTGCTCGTGTGTTCTCATATTGTTGATCCTGAACTTTTGCCTCTAGTCTGGTGGTGATGTGCATAGCCGGGCTTTTCTTCATTCCAGTCATGGGACTCACAGGTTTCCATATGGTGCTCGTGGGTCGAGGCAGAACCACCAATGAGCAGGTGAGGAGTGCATGCTTGTTCTGTATCCACGTAAACAAACAATCACTCTGCTGTTATTTGTCCAGCGTATGTCAACAGAGCCGCGAGGCGCTGCTTCACAAACACATGCAAAAACAATATTCACACCCAGAGCTGCATGTACTGTTTGCTCCCCAGGCTTTACAGCAGAGGTGCCCAACCTTTGATAGCCCCCAAGAAGGGTGCCCGGACCCCAGGTTGGGATCCAATGCTTGAGGAGCACCTTACATTGAAATGTATCACTAACCCCTTTGCTGCATTTAAAACAGTTTAGAAACAGAAGAAATGTACCTTCTGTACACGACAACATCCTTAAACACACTAATTATAAGACTCATCAACAGCATGACTCACCTGCTTTGTATTCAAGCGCTGGACCTTTGTGTGTGTGTGTGTGTGTGTGTGTGTGTGTGTGTGTGTGTGTGTGTGTGTGTGTGTGTGTGTGTGTGTGTGTGTGTGTGTGTGTGTGTGTGTGTGTGTGTGTGTGTGTGTGTGTGTGTGTGTGTGTGTGTGTGTGTGCGCACTGTGGCCTCGACTCTGAACGAGGCGTTGTGATCCTCAGGTGACGGGCAAGTTTCGCGGAGGAGTAAATCCCTTCACCAGGGGTTGCTGTGGCAACGTGGAGTACGTCTTATGCAGTCCCCTGGCACCGAGGTAAGATGCTTTACAAGCCTGCACGTGTGAGCGTGAGTACAGTAGACTCTACCTTTCTGTCACTGCACACACACACACTTTAGAGAATATGTTTATGCATATGAGTGTCCATGCTGCAGCGCCTCTTTAACTGCAATAAAAACACACACAGTACTGTGTTGTGTGTGTAGGAGTGTATATGCACGTGCTCTCTGAGGTGGCTGTGGACATGTGTTTCCAGTCCCGCCTGAAAGCATCCAGCGACCCCCCCAAGGGAGGCAGACAGCTGAGAGTACAGAGAGAACACAATCAGAGCGTAGAGCGAGTAAACGTGTTTAAACACTCAGCTTAAAAAAATGTTTTTTTTAAAACCCACAATGCCGGTTTAACTACCAACAGGGAGAAGTCCAATTCGATCAGAATCAACAGTGTGAGTGCGGAGAGGTGGCAGCAGGTGAGGGTGAAACGCTGCATCACAAGCATCTGCTGTGAGGTCTCCGATGGAGGCGTGTTGATTTACTGAGCATGTTTCACCTCACTGATACTGAATGAACTGGTAGTGGAGTCATTTTAAATCAGCAGCATTCATTTAGTAACACGGTTTATTTAAGGGGGGGAGACATTTGTAGAGACAACTCAGAACATAAACCACACATTCACTCTTTCAGTTCTTCACGCTCGGCAGGAAACTTTAAAGGAAATCACAGTGACAGCCGTTTAATGATGAAAACACTAAGACCCTCTGATACTCGGCTTTTCTGTCACTAAGTTGTGTTTGAAATGTCTGTCTGAGGCGGTGTTACTATAATGGGATTATACTTGCAGCTCTACTCTTTTCATTATAGTACTCTGCAGTGTGTTTTTGTGGATGGCCAATGTAAGTTTATAGAAGTCTTAAAGGTGCAGTACAACATTTAGAGAGAGAGCTGAAAAAACATCAGTGATGTTAGCTGTTCTTCTTAAAACATTACGTTCTACATATGTTATAAACATAGGTCGTGTACGGGCAAAACACTGATAACCCTGACACACCAAGGAGATCGTCGGCCGTCGGTCCTAGTTTTTGGTATTTGGCCAATTCGACATGTAGAATCGGCGTCAGCGGTCGTTGAGAGGAATCTCTCTGATTGGCTGTTGGGAGGTTTCATTTCTCTCCAGCTCTCGACACAGGTTCAGAAAAGCCCATTGAGCATGGCCATTAGTGTTTTTTTTCCTTATTTGTCTCCTCCACCTCTTTTTTTCTTTTTCCACAGACTGTATAAACAGGGATGTAGTCAGTCAGTGGCGTCACCCATCGGTTACTGAAGGGACATTTTGAAGCCTAACAGTGGTGGTCGCCATACTGTAAAATGCTGTCTCAACCTAACTCTCGGTCGACATAGTAACACACAAAGAGGCGGAGCTGAGTGATAACAGATGAGTTATAAAAACAAATCATTCCCCATACAGTGTATGCAGATAAAGCCGTGAGCTATTCCGACCAAATCAGCTTTTGGAACCAGGCTGTAAACGTGTTTATTTCTGCTGTAACATTTGGGTGTGTACAGTATGTGACTTCTGGGGCTTTTCCAGCCAGCCTCAGGTGGACACTCGAGGAACTGCAGTTGTTTGCAGGTCCGTATTGGCTCCATTTTTTCAACACCAGAAGTTGCTGCTCGCATTCAACATAAGTATTTCTTGTGGAAATAAGGATGATATGCCAACGATTTGCGGGGCAAAAAGGCAACAAAGTGAACTAATAAAGTTTTCAGCAACACCTTGATGTTTTTGGTGGCTCATGTTTTTGAAAGGAACAGCTTGAGGGAAGATATTCATATTTAGCACAAACATCAGCAGTGATTAGATTTTGACGGTCAAAGGGCAAGGTCAGTGCAACATCTGGTAGCTATGGCTGAGTGGTAGAGAGGTAGCTATGGCTGATTTCTGTTGCTTGTCTTCTTATGCAGGTACACACTGGACCCCAGGAAAAAGGCCCACGTTAAAATCCAGCCCCCCTTCATCAGACCTGACCTGTCGGACAGACAGATCACCATCAAGGTCTCCGACAATGGGATCCACAACACCATCATCCGTTCCAAGGTGAGTTTGGTATCCTCTTACTTCAGACTTCAGAGCAGCCATTTTTTTTCTTGCTTCACCCCGAAGTCTGAGGCCCCTTGTCCCCCTTGCAGAAAGCGACCGCCTGGAGAAAAAGCGCTGCGCCCAGTATATTTTCTTCCGAGCGCTCAGCCTTTTTTTGTGCGGCCGTATTTTGTCTTGAAGCCCCTGGTTATGCTCTGTGTATGATCAGGATAATCGGAGTAGTGTCGGTCATACAGCAGCCATTGTCAACAAACTGTTGTCATAGAGACAGGACGGATGTACAGCGCTTTTCTTCTCAGCGCACAAACGCTTCACACAAACACTCCTGAGTGCACAGACAGCGCTTAAACCTGGAAAAGACTGTAGTTGGACTCGGGGTCCAACATGTATGTCAAACATATGTAACATCCCCAGGCTTGTACCTGGATTCCTGTTTTTTAAAACAGGCTCACACACAAGGCAAAATAAACAGTTTACAGCTTTAGGATATTATTGGACTTTTCACACAGAGGCACCTATGGTCTCAATTCATCATTATGAAAATATAATTTTTGTCCCTTATAGGCATTGGAGATGCTAATCCTCTTATAGATACTATCATTTCATTAGTCCTAAAGTAGAAAAGTTTGACTCCAGAACAGTTCTATCCCCTAAAATAACTTGATGTGGGATTGGTCACTGACAATTAGGAGAAAGATAGTGTTGGACAGATGAGGTGAGAGAAGCCTTTTGTGTGTGATAGAAATGTTAGATAGATGTGAGATTACCAGCCTGCTGTCGCTCACTCCTCGTGAACCCAAACAAACAGACGTCACTGGTCCTGCAGACTTTACTGGAACCTTCCCAAGAAGTCTGTCCAAACCTCTCATTTATCCAGCCGTCAAGGGGCCCAGGCTGACTCACTGCAGACTTCCAGAGAGTCTGGTGGAGGTGCAGTCTTCCTTGATTAAATTACCCACAACTCATTGCAACATATATAAAAAAATATATATATATATATATATATATATATATATATATATATATATGCATGCTGTTAAATGGTTCATTTTAACAAGGTAGAAGGTACCTGTACTGGTTGTCTGAGAGAACGAGTCCATTAAATTATTTTGAATGATTAGTATTAACACTTACTTGGGATTTATCGCAAATTTAATCACATTGGAAATTCCATTATTTTACATTTCAAAAAAGGTTTTTGATGCTTTCATTTTTTTATTTTGGTGTTTTTTGTTAAAGTCCCCATGAAACGAACGAAGCTCCGAAAGTATCTAACTTCTGTAGCGCGTCGTATTTCCCTCTGAAACGGGATTTAACCAATCACAAGATAAAAGGCGGGACATTACATTGGCATGAATTTGATTGGACCATTAGCTTCAACAAAGCTTTAATTGATCTAAAAATGATTAAACACCCATGAGTGCGAGATGAGTCATCAGACATTAAAAACATTTTACAAGAAGAAAAAATATGGTTATTTGATGGAAAAATACTCAGATGATTCTTTATTTGAATATATTTGGTAGATAAATAAACATTTAACAGGAACGCTGGATTAAAACCTGGAAAATGCAATTAATGCATTAATGCTGACAGCACTCAAACTTATTGTGGTTATTCCAAACTGCTGATTCATTAAAACATTTTTTTATGAATGCGTTAAAACAATTAGTGAGTGTGTAATCAACCCCATCATGATACAGATATATGTAGAAGACCAGGAGATAAAGAAAATCATAATGTATTTTATTCTTGTAATCTTTTTGCAGCTTTGCAGTCTTGATGGTAACACACTGAACATACGACTAAAACCAACAAGTTTCTTTGGATCAAGCGTCTTCTTGTGACTAGATACTGAAGGATACATTTGTTTAATCCCGATCTGCACACTGACGGACTCACAGACTTTTAAGTGAAAGTGAGTGTCACTGTGTCACAGTCATCAGGTGCATGAGGGATCTGATGCAGACTGTACAGGTCAGCATTTAGTAAAGTTTCCTGTGGGACTTACCCAGGGTTCATTGTAAACTTTGTGACATTGAGCATAACCGCCAGCACAGCCAGCGCTTTCCTGCCCATCTCAGATTTCTTATCCGGGTAACTTGTGATGTCATAATAGTTTCCAATTCCTTATTCATTACACAATTTCAAGCCTGCATTCTTCTTGCCTGACGTCGACTATAGTCATAAGTTTGAAGTGCTAATGCTTTAGGCTGGTGATCGGGATGGGATCATTGGCCACTTGAAACGTATCACGTCTGAATCTGCTAGTGAACTTTAGTTGTAGAATTGCATTGTGGGTCATGTAGGGGACAGGTGAAGACAAAGAAGAAGTTTTATGTGTGGAATAAAGAAGATGATGGCTCTGGTTTTACTGGGTTGACTTTGGTGTTTTTTTTCAACAGTGTCACAAAACAGTAAATTGGTTGCTTGCTCGAGAGAAATGAACTCAAAGAGCAACTAGGAGATCATTTGTTTTCACTATCCCCCCCCACACACACACACCTGTTCTGGATGTGTTTAACACCCTGCTCTCCTCCCTTATAGTCCAAAAGCAGCCTGGACGGCCTGGACGAAAAAGAAACCCAGCCGCCCCTGCCGCCCAAAGCTGACAGGTACAACCAGCTGAAGAACCAGCTGACCTCCAGCGAAGGTAAGTTCAGTCCATCCCCTTTCTGACTCCTTTCAGGTGCGACAGAAAGCAACATGCCCCAGACTCCTTCTGTCCGTCGTCACCACGTCCCAGTTGTTGGACTCAGTGCTAGGTTAGCGTGATAAATGTGCAGCTCAGTGTCAGGTCAATGGTCTTTTATCCATGCCGAGCTGAAGAGAGGGCCGTCTGATTTGTAACGAGGAGAAGAGCCCTGTCCGCTGAATCAGCAGCAGATTTGTGGCACAAAGAAGAGACTCCAGAGTGAATCACTGCAACGTGAATCACCACCTTTTGAGTGGTGACTTGTGAAGAAGTGAGCTCTGTCAAATAAAGAGAGAGGAGAGGGATGATGTCCAGCTGTAAATGCATTTTGAAGCTACCTCTGTGAACAATGAAAAGAAGCTAATCCAGTGTTGGTGTTGCTGTTCTCAGTTGTGTGACGTGTTAGTCAAACACGTGTGTGAATTAAACAGCAACATTTTGTCAGGGAGTGAACATGTTCTGCTCTTCCAAGGAGCACTACTGCTGCCTGGTGGATTTTTTTAAGTACTGCATGTTTTGCTCCCTTTGGCAAAGAAACTGAATAAATGATCATTTGGGTAAATGAGAGTTGTTGTTTTTTTTAATAATACAGGAGAAACTGGTTGTTAAGCATCCCCTTCATGTTTCTGCTCTCTCTCATGGCTGAGGCAGATTGCAAAAGATTGGCAGCTGTTCAGTGAGAGCATATATCCATTCATTTTGACTCTGTAGAAGTTATACAGGTTTAAAAAAAAAAAAAAAACTCACTCCCTACAGATTCTTTACTCTGATAGTATGAATCAGCCCTGAGGTCGTTTCTGGCAGAAACAACTTTAAGTGAGATGTGGTTTAATTGTTTAGATTTGTGTCGTAGCTACAGTTCTGACTCTGGTTTTCTCCGTGTGTGTGTGTGTGTGTGTGTGTGTGTGTTAGTAGAGAGCTCGCTCTCTGGTAAGACGCATCCTTCCACTCCAGCCATGTACAAGTACAGACCGTCCTTTGGCACCATGCCTAAAGTCCACTACCACACAGCTGGAGAGAAGGTAAGAGAGGATCAGTGTGGATCTAATAATGGTGACACTACTTCTCTGATATCCACTAAGATTCTGTTCTGCTCCTCAGATTGTCATGGCAGACGACCTGAAGACCTCGGCCATCATGGAGGAGGGTGTCCGTGGTCATGACTACCGATCCGAGCCGAACCTGGACATGCCCGAGTACACCAACGCTCCCCTCCACCGCACCTTCCAGTCATCCCCCCTCCAGCTGGACTCGGACCCCATCGGCTCCCGCTCGCTCAGCCTGAAGCAGGGTCACTGCCGGCCGGAGAAGAGCCAGCTCCCCGCCCTGCAGCCACAGGCGCACACCTCCACCCCCTACAAGAGCGTCTTCTCCCCCAACACGCTCTCCAACCGCAACGGCAGCCTGTCCTATGACAGCCTTCTCAACCCCAGCGTCTCCCCCGCCGCTGCCGCCGAGTGCATGGCCCACCGCGCTGCGCCCTCCAGGGGCTTCCACTCGCCGTACCTGCCCACCAAAATGTGCCACATCCGGGAGCCTGAGATGCAGAGGCAGCAGGTGACGCTCACCTACAGTCCAGTGCTGCCCCCTAGAGGGATGGGTAGGCAGTCCCCCCATCCGAGGGATAGGGACCCATCCCCGGTCCGCTATGACAACCTCTCCCAGACCATCATGGCCTCCATCCAGGAGCGCAAAGAGATCGAGGAGAGGGAGAAGCGCCAGATGCTGCGCGGGCGCTCCCAGACACATATCTACGCCCAGGACTCCGGCGTTTTCGACGGGGGCTACGGTCTTACCCATAATGCTTGCTACCCAGAAGGGCCTCGCTGCCCTGTTTCCAGGGGCCCCACACCCCCAGCCTACGGAGGCTCCAGGGACAACCTGATGGGAGTCGGGCTGAGCTATGGGCAGCGAACCCCTGTGTTGCGCCACGCCGGCTCCACATTAGGCCGGGCGCCTAGGACTTCATCCACCTCCCTGCACACTGACCACAGCAGCTCCAACAGCAGCCACAGCCGGGCCCCCTGCCCCGACGGGCCCTATTTCTCCCCGTCCCACCAGCCCCGTTCCCCTGCCATGCCCCGATCCCCCTCTTACTCCCACCAGAAACTCTCCTACATCAGTGCCCTCGAGAGGACAGACTCGCCTCGTCTGGGGGGCCCAAGGTATGAATCTTAACCCCCCCACCCCCCCTCCCTGAGGGGCTGCATGCTTTGTACTGGACAGGGACTCGAGGGAACTGAAACTGTGCTCCTGGACTCATCATAAGCACTAATGTTCTAGTCCTAACTGAAGTGTAGCATGTGTGCAGATCTGTAACGTCCACCTGCTGGACTCTGCATCAAAGTTTGCTTTTCTCCTAAAATATCTTTTTTTTTTTTGTATAATTTCATGAATGTCAGAAGAATAAAGTTGTGACTCCTCTCATCTCTCTTTTCTTTTGCATGCCTTTCACCTGCTCGTTAACACTCCACCTCTGATCTTCTAACTCCGCACATCTCGTCTGCATGTTGCCATGACCCTTGACCTTAGTCTTGTGAATAACTCGCTCTAATGTGTTTCGTTTTTTTTTGTCTCTTCCAACTCAGAGAGGCCATGAAAGTAAACGGGCAGATGGACTGCCACCCCAGTGCCCAGGGTGCCACACTCAGCCCCAGTCGCCATAGTAACGTCAAAAAGGTGACGGGTGTGGGAGGCACTACGTACGAGATATCAGTGTGAGAAGACACTCCGCGTCCAATGACAACAGCTGACCTGCGACAAAGAGACTCCAGATTACAGCCAATCAGGGGGACACATTACACTTCCTGTTTTGGGAGTTATCGTCCAATCACAGGGTCTGTCTGCCAAGTACCTGTGTGAGTTTGTACAGGGCGGTTTTGTTTTGAGTTGATCCTGTTGCAGGTTGTACTTGTGGAGGAGTGTCCTGCTGACTTTTTGTGGCCGTCCAACAGATTGTCGATATTGTTTCTGTCGTCTATCAGATGTGGTCACGACGTCGTCTCCGGTTGTAATACAAAAAAAAAAAAAACACCACAGAAGAAGAATTAAACACACAGACGAGAAGTCAAGGTGCTACACATTGCATCGCACTGTTTCAGCGGATCGGGTGGAGTTGTACAGATTTTAAAAAGTGATGCAGGATTGAAAAGTTATATAAGCAACAAGTGCGAGTAAAAAAAAAAAAAAAAAAAAAAAGCAGAGATATTGAGAGGGGACTGCTCGAGTTTTCTGTCTGGTGGTTGCATTTGAAATTTCTCTGAGAAAAGTTTAGAATGAAATGAAATCAAGACGACAAGTCTCAGGAATAAATGCAACCAGGAGAGGTCATCGATTTCGATTCACACATGATGAATGTCTCCCTCTGAGGTCAGCTAAGCCCCCCTTCATATCCTTCATTTATCAGTTTTATTATTTCATCCTGACGCATGACGATCGCAGGATTAACCGTGTTTAAGGATCAGAATATCTCACCCTGTTTCAGCGAGTCGCGTCAGGCTCAACCAAAACAACTTCTCTGTTTATGTTCTGTCAAGAAAAAAAAAAAAGGTTCAATATGAACGTTTTGTGTTATAACATAGGAATGGAAGCGAGCCTTTTGTCCAGTGTAGTGAAATGAAGACCGCTGGTCATCCAGTCATCGTAGTGTAGATTTTTATTTGGTTTGATTCCTTTTTTATATACCCATCATTTAAAAGAAATGTTTGATACATCTTTTTTTTTATACACCTAATGAAGCCTGGAATTTAGAGTGGATTTCTAATTGATAAATTCTGAAGCTGAGATTGTGATAATGGACATAAAAAGAAAACAAAAACATAAAGTGAATACAGGTTGTTCTACCTTGCAGTGTGAAGAAGCATACGATGAAATGTTATGATAGGGTGTGTGTGTTTTGAGGAAGTGTGAAATGTTTGAGTCGATCTCTAAGTCCACGTTAAAAAAAACCTGAAAATGTGTCTGAGACTTCATGAAGCCTGAACATGTCAGGTCAGTCTGCAGCAGCTGTCTGGAACAGCTCCAGTGTCATCTGCAACTCAAACTGAACTTTATTTTCATTTATTGTTTAAAGTCTCATCGCATGAATTACTTAAAAAGAAGAAGAAGGCGGAGTGGGAGGAGTTTATCTATATTTGAAACGATCTGAATATATATATATATATATAAAGAAAGCCGTGAGTTTACATGGATGTAAAAGATCTTCACATAAAGAATGAACCATCGTTGCCTTTGAGAGGAGAAGCTTTGCGTTTCATGAAGCGTAGTGAGATGAAACACTTGAAGGAACATTTAGTTAGAACTCCAGATGTAGGGAGGAGAGTGCTACCTGGACACAAAGAAGGGAAGGTGAGAGGTGGTGTTCTTTGCAAAACGATGTAAGCAGTCAAAGAAGAAAACAGCTAAGACATCTTTATTCTCACAGCATGGTCATGTGGATGGCGTTATCCCGACATGAAATAGCCCAGGGTCAATTCCACAGTAGCAACCCAGCCTCACTACAAACCTTCGGTATAGACCACATAAGTGTTGTAGTTAAGACCACACTAACCGAGACCAGAGTGCTCTGAGACAAGACATTTAGAGAGCGAGAGTGAGACCCTAAATATGACTGAAAAATCCTCATCTTGTGTGCAGGGGGGCGTCACTCACTTAGACCGTAACACTGGGAGGGTTGTGGAGGTAACTGGGGATAAAAATCTGATTCGAATGAATCTCAGTAATGACGTGGAAAAATAGCCCATCAGTGGTGTTCTTGAGACCAAGACTACTATTCTACTACAACACTAGACCACATCCCATCGTCTCTAAGAAAAGGTGACAGACCAGAACCTGCAGGATCGTTTTGTAGTTTTATTCCCCTTTTTGACATCAGTGTAGACATTTTTTTTTAAAGATTTATTCTCTGGCTTTAAGTGCCTTTTATTTTGGAGACAGGACAGTGGATAGAGTCGGAAATCAGGGCATGCTGAAAAGATGCCACAGGTCGGATTCTAACCTGGGACGCACACTTAGAGGACTATAGCATCCGTACATGGGGCGCGCGCACTAACCACTAGACTACTGGCACTTCCTCTGAATATAGGAATGAGATTATTTTATTTACACACATTGGCTTTAATAACGTCATCTCCTGAAGTTTGTAGGTGTACTGACGCTCTGCAGGCCACACCTCTCTGACTCCAAGTGTGGAACTGGTCGAGTCCCACTATGAACGGCTCAGTGTTTCTCTCCATCTGTTTTTACTTCCTGATGAAGGCCGGGCGCTGAAATGTGATCCACATGAGCGTGCTGTGACAGTAAAGGTGTTTGAATCGTTTCTTCTTAAAAAAAAAATGTGCTAGTGAGCAGGAGTGAGCAGGAGTGGGGGGGCGCCGGATAGCCTAGCGGTTATACTGTGCACCCAATGTACAGAGGCTGTAGTCCTCGTTGCAGTGACCGCGGGTTAGAATCCGACCTTGGCCCTTTGCTGCATGTCATCCCCCTCACTTCCTCGCTCTCCTCGGCTGTCCTGTCTAATGAAGGCAAAAAAAAGGCCCCAAAAATAAAATCTGAGACTGACTTTAAAATGTGAATGGAAAGGTCTGGAAGAAGAAAAAGATTTATGACATTTTTTAAAGGATTTTTACATTTCCCTCGAGCTCAGAGTGTGGAGGTGGCTCGGCTGTGGTGGACTTTAGCGTCTGACCGGGTTGGATGTTATCGATGCGGGACTGTAAGTTCGGGTCTCTTTGAAGGTCTCACCCAGCTGCCTTAGCATGAACACAGGAGTGTGAGGCTGACAGAGTCCAGTATATCTGGATGGTTTAAGAAGCTGTGGTTTACAGGGCTACCTTACTGGAACATCTTGAAACACCTGAACAGACCATTAGCTGCTGAGTTGAAACCCACCCCCCCTACAGTTTGACCACACATCAGAACACTATCGATGTCATTCCTCTCTAAGATGACTGCCATTAAGAGTCCGCTGTTCCTCTGTGGGGGACGGACATCGCTGCAGGTCAGGGGTCATTCCTGACAGTCAACAATGAATCTGTCCAATCAGCAGCGAGCTGAAACAATAACATATGTATGAGAAATATAGAATATACGTCATGTACATGCGTTCCTATTTTTGTGAAGAGGAAGTATTTCCCAACGAGCTGAGAGTAAATAAAAGTTTCAAACTCTGCCACTGGATGGGACTGCTTTTTGTTGACGTTGTTTAAAAAGCTGACATTTTTCTTTCTACATATTCAGACCGAGTCTGGAATCACTCACACTCTGTAGTGCACTATAAGGTGGCGGGATCATACCCTAAAGAGTCCCCACAACGCAAAGTCGGAGAAGTTGTGTACAACAGATGGGTCACTATCTGACCAATATAGACCATCATGCATTGCAGTTCAAAGATTTCTGCGAGCGGAAAGTGGAGTTTGACACGACTGCTCTCAGACAGACGAGAGGAGCGACCAGCGTCAAAACAGAAACACAATAAAGTTCATATTTGGAGCGTTTTTACTGAACTCTACGATCTGATTTAATAAAGAGTCGAAGGATTGTCAGCACGAGAACAAGTAGTTTTTGAGCAAAATTAAAGGAGTTGATGAATCATTTATTAAAAAAGGAATATGTATGTTTTAGTTTATAATGAAAATAAACTCACTATAGTTTAAGTTATGACAGAAATTCATGCCGTTATTTATTCTCAGTCAGAGCTAAGCTATTTTAGTTTAGTGAAATGTTTTTGTATCATGCTGAATGAGTGCACAATAGTCCACTACATGTAACTCTGACCATATAAAGAGAGTAGGGAGGAGGAAATGAACGTGTGATTCTTCAAGCTGTGGTTCAAATCAAACGATCCCTTCTTTAAATGTTCACATGGCACTTCACATTATCCTTAATCAGTCTGCTCAGTCTGCACGGGGACTGGGGTTGGGAAGCAGAGTCCCTGTGCAGACCAAAATATGGAAGTTGGTCAGGTATCTGGAGGGGTACCAGGTCACTTCCCAAGTACTGCCGAGGTGCTCCTGAGCAAGGCAACAAATCCCCAACAGACCTGGCACACTCCATGTGAGCAGCAGCACTCTGCATGTCCACAGGACCTGTATGTGCAGGTGTGTGTATTTAAGACCTCAGTGTGTGTGTAGCATGTCTCAATATATAAAGAAAACTGAACTTGCCCTCTGGGATTAATTGAAAGAAAAGAAATCCTGCACACTACTCTTGCAAAGTATCAGGATCTTTGTTGCACTACACACCTACTTCTTGAGATGGTTGGATGTGTGAACTCCTCCTTAAAATGAAACCTCCAGGCTTAATAAAATGTTAAATTAAAAAAATTACATTTACAAACACTTTTTGTAAATGTGTGTGTAAAGAGTCAATTGATGCATGATTCCATTTCTCACATTTTGTCTTGATGGTCCAATCAAAGCTTCTGCATGTTCTTGTCAGCTTGATTTCATATTTGAAGAATCACTTTTTTATAACTTCATCACGAGTTGCACCAGAAACAAAGCGGTGGTTGTTGTTTTTTTCACATGAATGCAGACGTGCGTGTGGTCTTTGACAGCTTTTATTCGAAGGTGGAGGAAACATTTCAAATCATCTGAGTGCAAATGAAACGTAACATTTCTTCCATATACACGTATTTACAGATGCACTGGCACTTGGATGCGCTTCAGAGGCAAGGTTAAGAACTGAATTAAGAGGAAAGAAAAGGAGAGGGTGGTGAGCACACAGATCAGATAAGGGCACACTCTGTTACATATACTCGACATGCTTTTTTTATTTTGAAGTCTGGGAATGTACTGATGTAAAGAAACGTTCTCTCTCCTGGCGCAGAGCGAAGCAGCTTCCGACTCTGCTGAAGCGTCGACTTTGGACCAAACAATTTTCAGATATTTAAAAAAAAAAAAAAAAAAAAAGGAAAAGAAAAGCTAAGTGCATCTGATCTCCTGTCAGGTCAGCTATCAGTGGAGGCTGCCATCGTGAATCTGATGACCCTCGACTGTCTGGAGTGGATCCCTCCTCTGGTCGGTTCCCGACACAACTGATGACAAACGGAAACCAAGAAGGAACTACTTCTACGAGGCGTCCACTCAAAGTTTGTCACCTTACAGTGGAAGCATGGACAGCGGACAGGGTGCATAACGCTTTTTTATTTTACAGTGAGAATGCACCCGCCTGGTCCCTGACCCTGTGCTGCTAACACGCAGGCTACATCGTCCTCTCCCCCTACAAACAAACCCCGCTTCAGAATAACAAAACAAAAAAAAGTTACCCCAATGTGGGAATTATCACTATCACAAGCCTCTTTCCACAAAAGAGCTGGAGATGACAATGATGGTGCAGAGAGGGGGGGGGTGATGGAAAGGGCTTCTTTGTTTCATAAATTCACTATCTTGGATTGCCCCCCCGGCCCTCCCACAGTGGCGTCAAGGACTTGTGATCTTGAGGCAAAACAGATAATAATAATAAAAAACTAATAATATGCAAGTGTCCAAATTCAGTTCATTTAGAGTCTATTGTAGAAAAAGAGGAAAAACTGATAAATTGGAGATCAGCAAAGCAAGTTCTTGGTTCTCAATTCTTCTCCTCGGCCTTCACCTCCTTTTTCTCCTCCTCTTTCTTCTCCGTCTCCTTTTTGACCTCTTCCTTCTTTCCTTCTGAAGCCTTGTCTTTTACCGACAGCTCCTCCAGCTTCTCGGCCACTTTGTTTGCACTCTCTGGGTCGCCTGGGGTGACAGGGTGAAAGGTGAGGTCAGTAGCTGGTTCAGGCCAAAGTTAGAAAAGGTAGGAGGGTCAAAATAACTGGGCCTAGTGTGAGTGTGCCCTTAATCAGATTAATGTAAATTAAAGTGTGGAAGCTAGAAAATACAAACAGGGTTCTGAAGTAAATCTCATTGCACTAATATTCTCTCAGGTGAACATCGTTTGATATCACAGGTGAGTGTGTTCACACTGGATGTAGCAGAACATGAGAGGCACCGGCCGTTCACAACGAGGCCAGTCACTGTCACATTCTGCATGTTCATGTAGCAGACAGAAAAAGTCCGATGCTGGAGAGAGCAGCAAAGAACAGAGTGTGTCTGCATAGTCATGACACGGCTCAATGTAAAAAAAAAAACATTCCTCCAACCTAAAGAGCAGCATGCTGAAAATAGTCATGTTTCCATGTATGGTGGATTAACACTGGTAACAATGCACAAGAGTACGTACCTGTTCCCTCCAGAGATTTTCTGACCTCCTCCTTGCACTCATCAAACTTTGCCCTGAACTTCTGAGCATCTGTAGACAGAACAGAGAGTTAATGTACACACACACACACACATCGTCGAGCTGTCGTATTGATGACAATGCTGCAGTCACACAGATCAACCAGTAAACATTTTTTTTTTGTAAATCAACTGCTGAGTCCGGGTGCAGTAAATAGACAGAGTCACTTCTGTGTCATCGTCAAATTAAAACACTGCCCGGGGCGCCTTTCAAGTGTGACACTGGATTAGATGTATAAATACTCACTTTCTGCATTTAAAAAGCGTATCGCCAGGAGTTCAGGTTTGGGGCATTCGTCAGCATAATCTGCGAGTGTGTTCCACACCCACGCCCTGTCACTGCCGGCGTTGGGCTTCAGCTCCATCGTAGGTACAACTGGGGTTCACAAGACGGGGACCAGGTTACCATGAGAACAGAGAAGTCATTGTGTACTGCAGTTAGAAAACCTGATTGTTTCAGCTTTGTGTTCAAACTGAACATCATTTCATTTCTTGTGACAGTTCATGTTGAACTGAAAGCACCAGCTCCGTGTTTATTACACTCAGGGGAAAACTATCGAGCCTGCTACAGCCTTCCCGTTTAGCGTCCTCTACTCGGCTGTACGTGCATTTATTAAAAGGAAATATAAATGTTGAGTAGTTAAAGCAGATATCTGAGCAACTGGTCTGCTAATGTAAATATGAGGCATCCTATGTTCCAGCTGATAGACGTTAGCAAAATAATAAATAACACCCAAAGAAAAATGATTCCAAGATGAGCAGGTTTTTAGTAATGTGTCAACTAGAGCTCGAACCATTCACCGGCTAGCCGCTAATATTGGCCGATATTAGCACATCAAATGACTATACTAAATGTATTCAGCAGTCAAAGCATTTCATTTGAGTTTCATTGCATTACACTAGCAGTTGTTTCACCAGCAGAGGGCGCTATATGGATTACAACAAGCATGATCACTCTCCAGAATGAAGCGGTGATGCATGTTCATGCTCAGTTACTTTTCAGTTGAGTGACCATCTTGTCATTTTATAACTTTCCAGAAGTTTTAGATAACTGCATTTGAGGGATTAACAAAATAAATGTGTAAATCTATATATCTCAACAGGTCAAAGATAGATCAGATATTTTTCTCTCCCTAATATCGATATCGGCCCCAAAAGTACTTATTGGTCGGGCTCTAGTGCCAACATTTATCAGTATTACTTCATAGATGTTATTTTTAAATCTCAGTTCACATTTCCCTTTCCCCTCGTTCTTTTATCTGCTATGAAATAACAACTGAGTTTCATTTCTCAACATGACTCACGGTGATGATTGGCACAAATCTTCAAGGTTCGGTCTCTCCTCATCAGTATGCGGATCGTGCCCTTCTCTCTGTGTTTCAGCAGCTTGATGTCGCCTGTCCCTCTCTCCTTCCACTCAGGCGGGTCGTTCTCAGAAGCAAAACGATAAAGTTTAGCCCGCCTGGAAAAAAACATCATGAACAGGAAACATCCCGAATGAAGACACTGGCTTATCATTCAATCGTCACAAATAACATGAGTCAAACCAACCAGTCTTTTTTTTTTTTAAAGAACTTACATTTTAAAGAGTTCCTCCTCATCCTCTTCTAATGTTTTCACATCCTGCTCAGGAAGGGACACTATTGGCTCAAAGTGAGGGTCATGATTGGTGTCCTCTGTGGTTTCTGCTGCAGTGGTCTCTTGCTCTTCCTGATCCTGAAAGGGAAAGCAGCAGACAAATTAACATAAATTAAAATGTCCAAATGTTTGAAGCTAGTATCAGGGTAAGTTAACATAAAAACGGATGTGGTTTATGTCTGTGTGATGCCTTAAAACTCAACTGTAACCAAGCGAATTCCTGCACCTGACCAACAGGCCATCAATAATGAATGGAGGGATTTAAGAGCTCATTGGTTAAGTCTCGCTTTTGTAGGGGGAACTAGCAAAGCCTTTAGTAAATGGTTGTTGCTGAGTCGGGCATCTTTAATTCTGTTCTGCGAAAAAGGTGCAGATCGGCATGTGACCAGAATCAGACGGTTTTCTGCCTGCTCTGCCCTGACCAGTGACCGGTCAGTCACCCAACAAAACAACGTGTCTGTAGACGTGAGGTGCCCACCAGCAGAGAAAAAGGATCAATGTACAGAAGAGTCAACTCAGAATGTTTCCCTGCACTTGCTCCTCATGCCTGAAATTACCTCTCTGCTCATGGTGGATCTGCGCGTATGCACTCCAGCTGTCTATCTCTCTCACTTGCAGGCTGGGGGAGTGCAGCACATTGTCATAAGCCATGAACACAGTTTATGCATTAAAACCATAGACTGTAAATATTAATGGATGAAGCCTGAGTGACGTCAGCCATCTGTTCCTGCAGGGGGCTCTGGAGGTTCATCAGCAGCAGTCTCCATGCTGGAAATCCTGTCTCAGTCTAACTTTCAGTCAACCTAACGACAGGCTGAGAGCTGGAGCTGAGGCGGGTTTTAAACCTCTTGATGAACCGTTACATCACGCCCATCTGTCAATCAGGTCAACTATGCAACAAACTAACTGCTATACCTGTAGAACACTATAGTATAAGAATTTAATGAAACGTCAATTGAGGGTTTGAACGGGGAAATCCACCTCCGGATCCAGGGCAGCTAAAAAAGTTGGCGGGTTAACGGTGAGTTCTGTATCGATCAAAAATAATCGTGATTTCTATTTTTGCTGTGAGCGAGCAGCCCTGACGTGATGAGCTACAACAAAGACTTGTGTGTGGACAAAACATATCAATGTGTGATTTTAATGACACCTTTTCCTTTAATTAGGGTTGTAAAACTCACTTTTATCTACTAGTTTTAATTAGCAGATTGTATTTGTTTCCATAGTAACAATGTAATCTTTTATCTACTAGTTTTAATTAGCAGATTGTATTTGTTTCCATAGTAACAATGGAATCCTTTACCTCTACTAGTTTTAATTAGCAGCTTTAATTCGTTTCCATAGTAACAATGGAATCTTTGCGCCTTCCATTAGCTTAAAACAACAAGCTGCTATGTTTAAGTTTAAGCTATTAAATAATTAATAAAACACGAAACTATCTTTTATGAAAATGGGGTAATATTAAAAGTTTAGCATTTAAGTAGGTGAATTTAACTTTATTAAGTTACGCATAAAGTTTTTTAACTTTGTTTTTAATCGAAACATCTCATTGTGGAGTCACCCTGCTGGCTAACTAGCAAGGCCTCTCACTAGCATGCTAATGCGGAAGATAATCAATATTTTGAACACCCAGCTGTGTCGCAAACTTTATCCAGGAGGAATGACATGTGCATTAAGGTGGCATGGTGTCTGGTCTCACTGGTTTAACTGGGTTACTTTGATCTAACACGCAGTTAGTCACTCATCGCCCTGAGAGAGAGGCTAACACCTCTGTAGGCTAGCTCCTGTTAGCAGCTGCTGAGCTGTTTCACACAAAGACAAACAATCTTGATGTCTTTAATATACATTTAATATCAGCAGTTTTCTAATTAACCTGTTCAAACAAGCGACAAAACAACAGACGACAACGACAAAGTTCAATCTTTAGAGGTATTTATCCCCAAAGCTTCCTGCGCAGCTGAGTCTGCTGCTAATGCTAATGCTAACATGCTGACTGACTTCAGAGCTTCCCTACGCTTTAAGGATCTTTAAATATACATTTATGATTAATAAACATTCCTACAGACTCATCATGAACTTCTTAAGCGTTCACAAATCGTTGTAGTTTTTAAAAGCATGTAGCTCAGCTTCTCGAGCATCACTAAACACGACACCTCTGCGCGCAGCTTCCTTCGTTAAACTTTGACAAATTTGAGACTCTTAAAAATAAATCTGTCGCTAAATTCAGACTTTAAATCGACTCTGATGAACCGGATGATCCAAAATACACCGCCTTACCTTCGGGTCTGCCATTGTCAGGTAGATGTTTGTAGATTATGGAGGACGTTTGTTGGATTCAAATCCCGCTCTGGTCGCCGCTTCACGTTCACTCACTCTCACTTCCTGCTTCAGCTTTCGCGCGCCGAATTTCCCTACGTAAGGCCGCACGGCCCACTTCCGGTTAGGGGACCGAGAGTTCACTGCAACTTTTTAGCTCATTTTCATTGAACGATATGAGGGACAAAAAATGACTAAAGTATAAATACATTATTAAATTAATAAATAAATAAATGTTGGGAGAAATGCATACAATAATGTATAAATAAATAAATAATTAAATAAATGCATCAATAAATACATAAATGCTGAAAACAATACATCAATGAATAAATAATAAATACACTTTGTTAATGAAAAAGGCTATTTATATATTTTTACATGTATTTATTCATTTATTAGCATATTTCTACAGTTATATGTTATCAACGCATACATTTCCACATTAATTGAGTTATTAATTTATTTCCGTATTTTTACATTTACACATCTATTTATTTCTGTGTCCAGGTCGTAAGAGGAAAAGTATATATGTAAATTTGCCTCTGTCTGTTTTTCAAAATTGACCAATCCTACATGTTAGGACGGCCCACTTAATTTACATATTTACTTTTCCTTGTACAACATATATATGAATATATGGGTTAGTATATATATAATATATTAATTTTATATGAATTGTTGCATTTATTTTTATATATATATTTATTTATGTATTTATTTATATATTTATTGATGCATTTATTTAATTATTCATTTATTTTTACATTATTGTATGCATTTCTCCCAACATTTATTTATTTATACATTTATTTATTCATTTATTTATACTTAGGTCATTTTTTGTCCCTCATATCAACCAGCAATAACAAGGCGAGATCTCTAATTCAGAAAGCCACTGTCCCATAGACAGTAAATATTACGCACAGTCCCCATATGTGATCCACTATGGGAAAAGATTTGTCCCAAATATCCAGTTTGGACCTTATCCTACACATCTTGACAAACCACCAGTCAATCAGGTCAGCTTATTGTGAATAGAATATCCTTCATAAAATCAAAACGGTTGAATCATCAAAAAAATCACCCTGGAAGTACAGTGTTTGCTGATCGAGACATGCGCTAATCAGATCTTCTTTCTTTTTTTTTTAACCAGGCTGTAAACATGTTAATTTATGCTGTAAAAAACATGTATGTGACTTCAATGCTTTTGCAGCCAGCCTCAAGTGGACACTCAAAGAACTGCAGCGAGGTTAAAATGGTGTTGGATGCTGCCAGGAGATTTTTGGACTACACAAGAATGGACTTGTATTTTAAGGAAGAAACAAACCCAGACAAAATGATTGAGGGATCACTTTGGGTGGAAACTGTAAATACAGTTCACAGTAACGCTCTTGTAATCCAGTGGCTGACTGTAATGCAACTTCTTGGATTCTTACCACCATGATACAAACAGAAAGTTAAGAATGATGTAGTTTCTGTGTAGCCTGCAAGATTCAGAGAGGTGGAGAAAAGTTGTGTTTTGTTGTAGCAACAAAATTGAAAGCATTGTTCACTTATTTTATGAATGCTTGCATTTTCTCATTTTTTGGTTCAAGTTAGAGCTCTTCTTTAAAACAAAGAATAATGTTTAAATGTTCAATTAAAGGAAAATGATATCGTCTTTTTTTATATAACAAGAGTGGGACTGACAGTGTACAAATATTTATGTTAAACTTGTTTATTTTGTATGGGAAATATTTTATTCACAAATGTAAATGGAATCAGAAAATACCTAAACTACAACAATGGAACACTACTTACAAACACTACATGGACTGAAAGACAAAAAAAGCAAAGAAAACCCTGGATATTTGTGGAATTTTTATTTTATTTGTTTAAACCCTCTTTGTATATAGTTGTACATAGATGTGTCTTATGTTGTAATTGTCTTGAAATAACAACAGTAAACAAACAAAAACAAAAAAACTTTCTGTGTAGCCTACCTGTGGGGGGCAGTAACATGCCAAGATTGGTCTAAACCGCCCGAATTATCTAAAAGAAGAAGAAGAAAGTTCAGAGTTCATCCCCCACACGTGGTTAAACAACATGGCGGCGCCCTGTTGACGGTAGAGAGTAGTGGTGTTTGAAATAAACCTGAACAGGTTTGTTCAGTCATTTAATCATCGTCTGCTCTCCAGCTGAATGTTACCGAGGACTTTATTAGACCGGAAACAGGAAGCTGTCATAGTCTGAGCGAGTTGACGAACCGGGTTTTCTCTAAACTACAAAACCGAAACTTCACTTTCTGTTTTATGTTAATTAACTCTTTCTCTTAATTTTTAAAACCTCTGTGTGATTGTTAGTATTCTCATTTAACACTTTAACAGCGAACCCGGAAGTAAATGACAAAGTGACGTATTTTGATATTTTAATCTTACTTTTTAAATTAATCGATGTTAAAGTTTTCTGTAACGGTGATTGAAAACCAAGACTGTCTCCTTAGGTATTTCTGTTAAAAACAAACCATAATGTGTTTTCATGTATCCTTTTTTTCATGTAAAAATGAACAATAATGAATTTATAATCAGACAGAAAGATGGCGGATGTGAGTGATACCCCTCCCTCAAAGGAGGGAACACCTGTCCTCCCTCCGAAGGAGACACCTGACCTCCCTCCGAAGGAGACACCTGACCTCCCTCAGGATGCTGGGAAGTCTGATGAGAAAGCTGAAGGGGGCAGTGAAGCGGCCTCTGACCCCAGCATGTACCGCTACATAAAAAACGACCTCTTCACATCTGAGATCTTCAAAGTGGAGATCAGGAATCTCCCAAAGTTCATCGGCTTCAACGACCTGAAGAAGTTCCTGTCCAAACATGGCCTCAACCCGCACAAAATCAAACTGTTCGGCAAGCAGACCTTCGCTTTCGTCACCTTCAAGAACGAGGAGGAGCGAGACAAGGCGATGAAGATGGTGCACGGCGTGCAGTGGAAGGGCCAGGTGCTGAGCGTCAGGCTGGCCAAACCCAAAGCGGACCCCATCCTGAGGAAGAGGAGGCAGGATGAAGGAGAGGGCGCGGGAGGGCAGCCTCCATCTAAGCGAGCAGAGGGGAAGGAGGAGGAGGAGGAGGAGGCGCTCAGTGTGCAGATAGCAAACGTGGTGACTCCTCTGTGGAACGTGCCGTATGAGGAGCAGCTGAAGAGGAAGGAGCAGCAGGTGGTGGGCGTGCTGCAGACGCTGGCAAAGTGAGTGGGGGTCAACATACGTGTCCAACAACCAAAGAAAACAAGTAACAACATCTGTACAATGAAATAACTTCTGTTCTGTTTCCTTTCTGCAATCATTCACAATCTAAAATTATATCATGGTTTTTAGGCTGTTGAATTCTTTTGTGTTACCGGTGTTTGGATCAGCCAATCAGTGTGCGTGTGCGCTTCATTATATGCTTTGACCACCTCCAGGGACAGTGAGGGTCCCCTGTCTTTAATACTCTTATTGTGGGGGTCATGAGCTGAAAGGTTTTACCATGACTGAGAACCTACACAGACAATATTCTTATATCCCCTCTTTTTTTTTAAGATTTATTTTTGGGCATTTATTGGAGAGACAGGACAGTGGATAGAGTCTGAAATCAGGGAGAGAGAGAGAGAGAGTAGGGAATGACATGCAGTAAAAGGAGCCACAAGTCAGATTCAAGCCTGGGCTGCCCGCTTGGAGGACTCCAGCCCCCATACCTGGGGTGCGCTCTCTAACCACTGCCCCACCAGCGCCCCATTATATCCCCTCTTATTCTGTTTTTGTCTTTTTCCAGAGAGATCGGCAGCACTAACAAAGCCATGTTACCGTGGCTGTTTGCTCAGAAAGGAAAGTACAACAGAATGTGTTGTCCTCTGGAAGCTATCCGACCTTCTCCTACGCTGGTATGATCACAGGCCGGGTCCCACAACAGTCACAAAAATAAGATGAACTACACACTGTGTGCCTGCACTCGTATCCTAACACTGAAGAACTAACAGCAGAACACGTTCTCCTAATCTTTTGTATTTCTCTTCCTTCACCTCTGGCAGACAGAATACAGAAACAAGTGCGAGTTCCTCATCTCCATGGGAGCAAACGGCGAGGATAAGACCATCGGGTTCCGCCTGGGGAAATATAAAGGCGGCTCCTGTGCCGTGGTGGGGCCGGCCGACACGAGTCATGTCTCAGCGGAGGCGAAGAGAGTGGTCAGCCAGTTTCAGAAGTTCATCAGGTAAACACTGAAGATGACCCCTGATGGTCCACAGTCAGATGTACGGACGAGGACATGTGTACACTGCCCCGTGTGGAGGAGAGCTTTCATTGAATGTTGTTGTGTACACAGGACGACGGCGTACTCCATGTACAGTCCTGAAACTTATGAAGGACACTGGAAGCAGCTGACTGTGCGGACCACCAGGACCAAACAAGCCATGGCTGTAGCTTTCTTCAACCCACAGGTGAGATGATGATGGAGTTTGGGACCTCGTTGTGTAAAACAGAATTAAACCTTGGTAGATTTTTTTCTTTTGACCTCTTTTCTTTACTTGTTCTGTGACTTTCTAGAAACTTGAGGAAGAGGAGATCACAGCATTGAAGAGCTCCATGAGGGACTACTTCACAGACGGAGAGGGGAAAGACAGTGGAGTCACCTCTCTTTACTTTGTCAGAGAGGGTCAGAGGTAACTGGACACTCTCTACAGTATGCTCTCCATGATTAAAGGGATACTTCACTTATTTGCATAATCTTTGTATCATTAGAAACCGGTAGTATTACTGGTAGTATTTTTGAATGGTTCTGCATCCCTCCCTCATTTTCCCCTGAGATGTGAAATCTTTGTATTTCTAAGTCTGAAAAGGAGCTTCCGATGATGCAAAAATTGTCATTTTGCATCACTGGAAGCTGGGTGAAACTGTGCTTGGGGTGAAACTACAACGCTAGTTCCTCATATTTTCGACCACTGAAGCTACAGACCAATCACAGATCAGTGGGTGGGAACTCACGCCCAGAATCCCAGGCCGGTCTTGTGTTTCTCAGCTGCTGCTGCCGCTGGCCGCAGCAGCTGAGAAACAAAACCAACCTGTTGGCAGCAACC